TGGTAGAGCGCTCGCCTTGAGCTGAAGAGCTGAGGGACAGCACTCAGGCCCAGAGTTCAAGCCCCACGACCGACAAAAAAAAATCTAGAAGTGGAGTTGTGGCTTAAGTGGTAGAGCACCAGCATCGAGTGAGAGGGCCTGAGTTAGCCTAGCTTTGTGTGCGTGGGCATGTGCACACACACACACACACACACACAAATAATTTTGGGGATGAGGATATGACTCAAGTGATAAAGCATTTGCTCAGCAAGGGCAAGATCCTGAATTCTAACTCTCCAGTAACACCAAAATATCTTTTTTTTTTTTTAAGTTTTGGATTTGGGAGCATTTTAGATTTTTTGGATTTTCTGTATTGTCTCATCATCCAACAACTGTTCATAGAGCATTAGGCCATAGGCACTGTGGAGGTAGCAATGAACAGAGCCAGCTGCGTGCCTACCCTTAGAAGAAAACAATGTAGGGCTGGGAAGTTGGCTCAGTGGTAGAGTGTTTACCTCGCATGCATGAAGCCCTGGGTTCGATTCCTCAGCACCACATAAGCAGAAAAAAGCCAGAAGTGGCGCTGTGGCTCAAGTGGTAGAGGGCTAGCCTTGAGCTGAAGAGCTGAGGGACAGTGCCCAGGCCCAGAGTTCAGGACCCCCCCCCAAAAAAAGAAAACAATGTATAGGATAAATGAATACTAGTAGAGATTACTTGAGCCGGGAGGTGAGGGTTAACTGTCTCATGATAACACTTTTGAGCCAAACAGCAGTCCATTATCCAAAGGAAGACGAGCATCCTAGGCAGAGAAAATGCCAGATTCAAAGATCTTGGTGGAGCATGTGTTTGAGGATGCAAGATCGGCATGATTGGGGAGGTTGTACATTCTTGTAATCCCAACACTCAGGAGGATCTTGAATTAGAGGATAGCTCGCACTACATAGTAAGACTGTCCCAAAACCACTGAAACCAAAACAAAGTGATTAAAAAAGAAGAGTTCAGGGGGGTTGAGACCAGACCCTTGTAGGCTGTGGCAGAACTCTGAACTTCATTTTAGATGTTACAGGAGCCATGAATGGGGGATTAAGTAGAGAAGGGACATGAACTGTATGCAGAATAGTGTGTGTCGGGAGAAGGAAGTCCAGAGTAGAAGCAGGAGACACCCCTCCCCCCCTAGAAGACAGCAGTCAAAGTAGTTTATATGGCATATATGAGACCAACCGGGCACCAGTGGCTCACACCTGTAATCCTAGCTACTCAGGAGGCTGAAATCTGAGGATCGTGGTTCAAAGCCAGCCTGGGCATGAAAGTCCCTGAGACTCTTATCTCCAATAAACCACCAGAAAACTGGAAGTGGCGCTGTAGTTCAAGAGCTAGAATGCTAGCCTTCAGCTGAAGAGCTGAGGGACAGCATCTAGGTCCAGAGTTCAAGCCCCACGACTGATCAAAAAACAAAAGAGAGAGACCAAGATGGTGCCTGGCACACAGTAGAGGCTAATTAATGGTAATTGTATAAAATTTAGGAACCAGGAAGACCTGGGTCTCTATAAAGTGGGAACAGAACTGGTCTCCTAGGGTTGCTAAGAGAACACAAATATAAGAAAACACAAAAAGTTCAGAGATAATTTTGGGGGCACAACTCATGATTGGTTCAATGTTTTTGTTATAATTTCTAGCTAGCATCCAGAAAATAAGGGAGTGTGTATTAAGTAAACCAGGTGTCTGCAACTCTCAAAGGTCTAGGGGCTCTTTGTCTAGCCACTGCAGAGAGCCCTGATAAATGTTCTGAAGTGGCAGAGCCAATCAAGACAATGACTGCAAAGGATGTCTTTATTTCCCTGTAATTATTCACTGAACAATGGCTGAGGAATGAGAAGCAGGCACAGGCTCTAGATTGGACACTTGGAAGAGCAGTAATACTAATGAATAGTAATGACACCAACAAGAATAGCAAACACTTGTCCCTGTGCAGCTGTGTGTAGTAATTAAGGTAACAATAGCTGCTGAAACCTCAGAACCTTCACACAATAGAAGTTTAGTTCTCATTCCTGAAGTCCTGTTGGGTGTTTGTCAGGTGCCTTTCTATAGAGAGTAGAAACCCACACCTCTCCCATCTTGTAGTTCCTACTACCTTAGGGTTTTCTTCCAGCTAGTGGATGGGGAAGGAGAGAATTCCTTGGGAGGTTTTAACAGGCTACTTTGAGCTGGCTCACATTCTTTCTGTCTTAAGTCTGTTGGCCAGGACTTGATCACATAACCAAATACTTTTTGATAAATGCACACCATTTTCTGCCATACCACATTTAGGTACACAACATATTTAGGTAAGGATCATCTTATTTAATTCTCATGATGTTTTTGTCAGGTACCAATTACTCCATGTTACAGAGGAGGAAACTGAAACTGAATTGTGAAGTCACTGCAAGTCTTACCATAGTTGATGAGGTGTTGTCAAGACTGGGCCATGCAGTCAGATACTGTCATAGTGATTAGGTAATTTAGACAGGAAAGAAGTTCATTTAGCTCATGGTTCTGCGAATCTCACATTGGTGACTTGATCCCCACTTTGGTGCATAAATGGTCTTGGCTACATCTGGCAGAGTCCTTGTACTTTATTACAACATGGTAGAAAAAGAAGACACACAGATGTCTGCAGAAAAGAGCAATAAAGCTGGGTGCCGATAGCTCACACCTGTAATCCTAGCTATTCAGGAGGCTGAAATCTGAGGATTACAGTCCAAAGCCAGCCCAGGCAGGAAAGGCCATGAAACTATTTCCAATAAACCATCAGAAAACCAGAAGTGGCGCAGTGGCTCAAGTGTTAGAGCACTAGCCTTGAGCCGAAGAGCTCAGGGACAGCACTCAGGCCAGGGATTCAAGCCCCATGGCCAACAAAAACAACAACGACAGAAAGAAAGTGGTAGAGCGCTAGCCTTGAGCTGAAGAGCTCAGGGACAGCGCCCAGGCCCAGAGTTCAGGCCCCATGACTGGACCCAAAAAAAATAAAATAAAATAAAAAATAAAAAAAAAGAAAGAAAGAAAAAGAGAGGAAAGAAAATAGCAAGAAGGAACATGACCTTCTCTATAACAACCCACTCTTGTGATAAATAACCCAGTCCCCTGAGAAGGTATTCACCCTCTTGGCCAAATCCTTCCCTCTTTTTTCTAACTGTGTGCACGAATGTATGAGTCTGCACATGCAGTGCAAAGACTCAGTAATAACATCCTAGTATATTCCCTTCTTTAATATCCCACTAGCTCTCAACTCTTACATTGCTATGGCTCAAGTCCTAGCCTTACAAGGCTAGGGCCCTGAGTTTAAGCTTACTCAGTACCACAAAACACACATACATGCACATATGTATACATATACGTAGATATGCATATATGTATATATACATATGTATGTATATATACATATGTGCATGTCTTTCTCTCTCTCTCTATATATATATATTTATATATATGAGCTTTGGAGGGGACAAACTACATTTGAATGATAGCAGATGTTGATGATATAACATCTAGGTTCCTGTGAGGAATTCAGTTATTTTATTTTCTTTTATTTTTTTATTTTTTTTAAGAATCGGATGCTGGGGATGCAGCGCGCTGGCGGGAGGTTTGGAGTCACAAAATCCTGCAACCGGGTGGGGCTTCCGTAATGTGGCTACATCACCCAGGCATTTGAGAAAGCCCTGAAACTGTGCCTCAGTTTCCTCATCTGTAAATATTAATAGTGCCTATGGCATGAAGACACCGTGTGGAATAAAAGGATGAATCTGAAGTGCTAAGAACAGTACCTAGCACTACTCCCAGGAGAAGAAAATAGTGGCATTATTCCTTGAGAAAGGAATGCAGCCATTGATTAAAAGCATCAATTGGAATCAGTTTTCATTTGCAAGCTGGATCAATGCAAAGACTTGATTTTTGTTGTTGTTGTCAGCATGGAGCTTGAACTCAGGGACTAGGCACTGTCCCTAAACTTCACTCAAGGCTACTCTACCACTTTGAACCACAGTGCCACTTCTAATTTTCTGGTGGTTAACTGGAGACAAGAGTCTCACAGACTTTCCTGCCTGGGCTAGCTTCAAGCCATGATCTTAGATCTCAGCCTTCTGAGTAGTTAAGATTACAAGTGTGAGCCTCTGATTGGCAAATGAGCAATGTCATTTAATCAACAAGAAAGGGTCGTGTGTTATAATGGGGAAATCCTTATTTTTCAGTTGTCTCACCAGAATTTTTCAGATAAAATGTCAGCAGAGACACCCATACTACATGTCAGAAAGATGGTATTTGACAGCGAAACCAGAACCTTTGCTCTGAAATCCACTGGATTCTGTCACATACAGAAAGCAAGTTCTTATTTAAAAATTATATGTTGCAATTGTGTGTCAGATTTCAGAACTGGAATTAACCTTCCTTATGTTTTGATACAAAACAAAAAATCGAATGGTGTTTTCAAATATTATTTGCTGTTTTTGCACAGCACCAATAAATTTGAAAAGTGTTTAAGTTTTAGTCTAGGCTATGAGATGAATGATAGCATAAGAGTCCATAATGGTCCTTTAGTTTTATGGCAATACGTCAAGACATTCTACTGTATCTCTTCCCAAAATGGCAAAATCATTAGCATATCAACTAATTGGTCTTCTATTCAGTGGGCAGGTGAGATCCAAAATCTAGGTATGGTTTTTTTGGGGCAAATGGAATATACCTCAAAGCTTTTACAATCAGATTATAAAGTCTGTAATAGTAAGTTTTGTATGTATTCTCTTCAAAGTAAAAAAATATTAACTGATACCTGTATTATTCCTCCTGCTTATAGTAATGTGGTAACTTATATTCATGTCTGTACAACTGAGATTGTCAACAATCAGTTAAGAATATCTCTGATTGCCCTTACTCGAAAGAATCAGCTCATTTCATGTCACAATGGAACACTTAAAAGTGTGTGCCAGCTTCCATTTGAAGATCCTTGTACAGTTCAATCTTTGGACCCAGGTGAAGGAAAATTATTTTTCATTGTTTTATTTAGGACCAATCATGCTTGTGCTGTTTCAAAAAAGAACTTTCAGGTTACTGCTAAGTGGAATAAACTTAGCTTAGTACTGGTAGATGACTTCATTGGAACTGGAAGAGAACAGGTACTGCTCCTTTTTAAGGATTCTTTGAATTCAGATTCCCTGTCTTCGTTTGAACTAACAGATCTTGACAGGATAAACTATTCAAGTAAACCAGTGGCGTTCTATGAAGATGATTTGTTTAAAGAACAACATAAGAATCGTTGCTTGGTGATTCCACCTCTGCAAAGAAGAATAGAAGTAGGTTTGGGTTTAACTCAGGAATTCAGGAAGCATATCTTGCTAAAGGAAAAATTTATTTTGAAATCTTGCAAAGCTTTAATAAACTTGACTCAAACTGACAGTACGTTAAATGCAGAGGAGGAATGTCTTGTTCCTTTTTGTGGGGAAGAAGAGAATTTTGTCAGTACCTTCAATGAAAAGTTGCCAGATGTTTTTCAACATTCAGAACAGAAAATAGAGAAGATATGGTATCGTATATTGGATGGTAGCTTAATTGTTGGAGTAAAACCCACATCTTCTTTAAAGCTATCCCTGAATGATGTGACTTTATCATTGTTAATAGACAAATCCTATAACTCCATTGTTCCGGTTATTAAGTGTCAAAATAAGGTGATTAAGTTGAGTATGGATTCTTTCTCAGAACCATACTTAAAGCCACATGAAGTAGGATCTGAGGCAAAAAGGATCAAGTTGAACAAGGAAGAAAGCTTTATTGGTGAACAGCCGTCTAAGAAAGAATGTGAGCAGATAATTACTGGTGTAACATCTCTTTCACCACTTTTAGCACTCAATAAATTTTGTTGTGTCGTGCTACTACAATTTAAAGAAAGAGATACTGATAAGTATCCTGAAGATCGTTTTATTCCATGTGGCAGACTTTGTATAAGTCTCAAAGATCTTTCAAGTGAGAAATACCTACTGACATTTCCAGAGAAGAAACTGATAGAGCACATGGAAGATCTTTTTGCATATCTCACAGTATTGAACAAATACTGTTTTCAGCTCACATCATCATCCGGTGGTGCCTTGAATTTAATGAAGATGTGGCTTATAGAATGCATGAACTGTGAAGTCATCAAAGAATTTCCAGAAGTGTGCTTTTGTAAAGAACCAAGAAATGTCTATGGGACTCTCCTAAATTGGAAACCAAAAACACCATTTAAAGGAATTTTAACAATCTATACAAGGAATCAAACAGTTTTGTTCCAATGTCTTCATAATCTTACTAGACTTCTCCCTATCAATTGCTTTTTCCAAAAACTAAAGTCAGGGAGTGAGGATCTCCTAGTTGATCATTTTGCATTAACTTTGGAGAATGAACTAGTTACCCTGGCTTCTTTTTCTACGGTAACCTTACACAATTTTGAAAGCAACTTTGTTCAAAAGTGTGAAGCCAGTAAAGAAAATAGTAGTACCAAGCCTACTTCACCAGAGACAGAGGACAAAATCCATCTGTTCAGAAAGGAATTTGAGAGAGAAAAGAAGAAAATGGCGGAAATGGACCTAAAAATGAGTGGTGCCCTTTATAGGGAAATGACTTTGAAATTAACTGAGATTCAGTTGCAATCAGATTTGGCTGCAGAGAAAATGACTCCTTTTTCATTGATAAAGTTTTGATTTCCTTGTTATATGCCTCTTCGGTAAAAATAAAGTGTACTCTTAAAAAAATCAAATGCTGCAGAGGTTGGAGCAGTGTACATCCATACAAGGTTTAGCTGTGACTTCTCAGGACCCAAAGAACCCAGAAGGACTCTCATGGGAGAGGGTTAGGGTTGAACCCAGAGTAGGTGTTACCTGGAGCCCCATCTAGTACCCTTCCCTCATCCCTTACAACACTGGTATGAAGGCTGAACAAATAAATTCAGTTCCATTCTCTAAGCATATCTGCTTGGTGAGCTCTACATGCAGGGGCTGGACAGCCTAGCTCAAGGGTATTCAGGCTCCCTCTACCCTGGCTGGCTATGGGTGCTACAGCTTGGAGGTGGAAGATCCTTATACATTCTCTTTCTCTTTTCTTCCCTCCCTCCTCTCCTTTCTCCCTTCCTTCCCCCTCTCTTTCTCTCTCTTTCTCTCTCTCTCTCGCTTGCTCTAGCTCTAGCTCTGGCTCTTTTTCTGTACTCTTTTTTTTTTTTTAAGGTCTTGTTACATAAAACGTCTGCCTTATTCTCCTGCTTCTGCCTTCCTAATGCTAGGATTATAGATGTGCATCACCACATTCAGTTTCTTTAGTTTCATAGTGGCAACTGCCTAAAGCTGGCTTGCTTTCCATAGCACCTTGGTGGCACTTGGGTTGGCATGCTCTGCTTTTCTAGATTCCTTAGGTGAGCATAAGGGTCTGAACGGATGTGCGTTTAAATGCATTTATGCTCATCTTGAATAAGTGAGTGCCCCAACTTGCCTGCACCTCAGTGTGCTCACGTGGAAATGGGTTGAGGTAAGGATTTAATGAACTCAGGTGAACTTGCCCCCTAGAATAGAGGGTACCTTGAGGCCAAGGCCTACATCGGGATACTAATGAAGACAGGAACAGCAGTACTAGGACTTACTGCCTGCCTGATGTGGTTCTCAATCCTTTGCCCGACCTTTCAACCCTTTTTGTGCCAGAACCAGGGTTTGCACTCAGGATCTTGGACTCTCAGCTTTTCATTCATGGCTGGGACTCTATCACTGAAGCCATGCCTCCAGTCCAGCTTTTTTGCTGGTTAATTGGAGATAAGATTTTACAGACTTTTTCTGCTCAGGCTGGCTTCAAATCAAGATCCTCAGATCTCACCCTCCTGAGTAGCTAGGATTATAGGTATGTGTGCCACAGGCACCAGGCTATCCTTTCAATACTTTTTTTTTGTTGTTGTTAGTCGTGGGGCTTGAACTCTGGCTGGGCCTTTCCCTCAGCTCTTCAGCTCAAGGCAAGTGCTCTACCACGTGAGCCACAGCGCCACTTCCGGTTTTCTGGTGGTTTATTGGAGATAAGAGTCTCACGGACTTTCCTGCCTGGGCTGGCTTTGAACTGCAATCCTCAGATCTCAGCCTGAGTAGCTAGGATTACAGGTGTGAGCCACTGCTGCCTGGCCAGTACATTTATTTTTGTATTTAATTTTTTTTTATGAAGCAGACCATATTCAATGCATTTTAATCTGCAGTTACCTGATGTGGGAGGTACTCTCCTGCCCATTTTGGCCATGGGCAAACAGGCTTACAGAGATAATTTGTCACAGGGCATGCATGCATGCTACCACCTCCTCACTGCACCCACCCTTAGGTGGGACTCCGGAGCTGTGGGCCTCACCACTGCGCCCCGCAGCCTCTGCTGCAGGGAGGAGCCTGGGAGGACCCGGGGGTCAGGGGTTGCACGTTAGATTTTCCAGTGAACAGAATCAGTATTTGTGGAATGCTCACGACGTGAACCGGGCACCCTGTCACGTGCTGTTGAAGTGAGGGCCAGTGTCATAAGTGTCTTACCCGCTAGCACACTGAGGCTCAGAGACACCCCAGCCGTGGGACACACAGCCGGTTCGGGGTGGCGGTGGCATGGGAGTGGGTCCTAGCAGGCTTACAACGGTCCTGCCGACCGCGTTCTTTGCCCTGTACCTGTTGTGTAGAGGCCTTTCCCCAGCACCTGTAAATACACTCCCAGCCGACCGCGCCAGCCGCGAGCCGGGTTCGGGGTCAGCGCAGACGCCCTCGCAGACCTTGGACTTTGGCCTTTCCGGTCTCGGGCTTCTGACCCCGCCCCCTGGGAGGGCGGGGAGAGGAAGGGGGGGCTTCTTTTCCTCCAAATCCTGCCCCTTCCTTTTCTGCTCCGTGCATTCCCCTTTCTCTCCAGGCTCATTCCTTTCGGTTCCCTCCCTCCTTTCCCCGTCCTCTGGCTTCCTCCGCTGCCTCCTTTCTGCCCCCGGCCCCCGCTTCCCGCTGCGCTCCCCGCCTCTCCCGCTCGCTCCAGAGAAGTCCCGCCCACGGTGTGGTCACGTGGGAACGCGCCGGATTTAAGCTTAATCTGCCAGTGTCCAGCGCAGCAGCAGCCCAGCTTTGAGGCGACTATCCATGCTGAGCTGGTTTTGGGGCCCTAGGGACGGGGATTGGGGAGGCCTACAGCCGCCTCCCCATGAACCTGGGGCTGGTGAGCTTGCCTGAGGCCCAGCTGGCACTGGAGGACGTTATCCAGGTGGGTCCCTAATAAACCTGTCCTGCTGAGAGCTGGGAGCAGGTGGGAGGTAGCATTTGAGGGTGTGTGTGGGGGGGGGAGGCGGGGAGGCTGTAGTGGTGGAGTGCACTGGGCCCCAGCTCACAGGAGCATACTGGGTACAGGGTTTTGGCTCCCTTATTCCAGTACTCTGTGGTAAGGGAAAGGGTTTTACTTCTTCATTTGAGAGTTTGGGTTGATCTTTGGCACAGTAAGATTGTCGTTGGATGGGAGCTAGACTGGAGCCCCTAATCCTCTTTGCTGCCCAAGGTGTGGGGTTCCTAAATTGGCCCTGAGGGAGCCATTTTCATTGGGCAGGAGTCTGATAAGAATATGCGCCCAGGGAGCTCTTTGTGATTCTAACTCACAGGCTGGTTCTCCCGAGATCTTCTTGGGCCCACATATTTGAGCCACTGGACTTTGCCTCTTTCCCTCCAGGCCAGGCAGCTCAGGGTCCCAAGTTCCTACAAGTCTTCTCTCTTCTCCTGCAGACACTGAAGAGCAGTGTCCTGGGGCCAGGCCAGGAGAAGGACCTGAGTGTTCAGGAACCAGCTCAGGCCTCCCAACCTGCCAGCCTGCCTGCCTGCATCAGAGAGATTGTCACCCGCAACTTCTCCCAGCCTGAGTGCCCAGGTGCCACCCCCTTCTCTGTAGCTACCCATGTACCCCTCTTCTCATGCCTCCTTTTTCAGATAAGATGAAAGAGATACTAATGTCAGTTTTGTGAATACTCACCATGGAGGAGAAGATGGAGGCCAACATATCATTTGCCACTTAACTATCACCCTGTAATGCAACTAGTCCCTCTTGGCTTGTCTACAGCCCTCTGCAAAAACTGAAACACAAATACATGCCTTGTTCCTCCCAAACAGAATGTGGGTGGCTGGGCTTGAGATTACAGTGAGGGGCAGGGGCAGCTCAGCTCACACCAGACTTGTAGAGAGGTCTGACGACCCTGCTCTCCTGGATAGGCAGTGCATACAACCTCATGCAGACCCTCTCCGGGCATGTGTTTTGGTTTCGGCTGCTGTGCTGGCTGCTGTGCCTATGGTGTTTCGTAACAGTCTGCATGTCTGCTTCCATATCAGGTATCAGGGACATTGGGACCCTACAGCCCCAGAGATGAGAAGGCTTAGCGCTCAGCCCAGCTGTGTGAGGCCTTTGGTGTGTGTCCTGTTCTCCCAGGGTTAAAGAAGAGCAGTGGTGGCTTACGCCTGTAATCCTAGCTACTCAGGAAGCTGAGATCTGAGGATCATGGTTCAAAGCCAGCCTGGGAAGGAAAGTCCATGAGACTCTTATCTCCAATTAGCTACCTAAAAACCAGAAGTGGAGCTGTAGCTCAAAGTGGTAGAGTGCTAGTCTTGAGTGAAAAACTCAGGGACAGGCCCCATGACTGACCAAAAATAAAACCCCAACAACAACAAAACATTTGACGAACACTATCTTGAGCCCTAATCTTAGAAGTTACAAGATGCCTTGCCCTCAATTTTTTACTTCCTTGACAGGGTCTGGTTACCATTCCACCCATTATATAGATGAGCAAAACTGAGGCTTGAGAAGACTAGTTATCAGAGAAGGTAGGAGCAAGGACTCAGGGCTTTGTGTTCAAGGGTAGGGTGGTAGAGACAAACACTGGACTTCTAGACAGAGTCTCCTTCCTGTACCTCCAATCCCTGCAGGCCCACACCTTCTCTATTTCTACTTAGATCTAGTTCTTGACCACTCAAGCCTGGAGTGACAGCCACTTCCATCCAGGCTCCTTTTATCCCCAGAGATGAGTGGGGTGCGTGTGAGGGGAGGGTGTTCTACTGTGGTCATGGTTGTGGTTGGTCCCAGGAAGCTGCATCTCACCAGGGCCTCCAGCTTCTGGCAGAAGCCAACTGTGTGTCTGCTGTCCATTGCCAGCCCTACTGCCTGCCCCAGAGATGGCCTCGCTGCTGTCCCTGCAGGAAGAGAACCAGCTGCTGCAGCAAGAGCTATCCCGTGTGGAGGACCTACTGGCCCAGAGCCGAGCTGAACGTGATGAGCTTGCCATTAAGTACAATGCAGCCAGTGAAAGGGTGGGTGCTTCTGCGGGTTGGGGGCTTGGCTGGGGCTCCCCTGCTGCCAGGGAAGGATCACATCTCCCCAGGCCTACAGCCTGGGCAAGGGTGGAGCCCAGGGACAGACTGGCCTGGATTCAGATTGCAGTCCTGCCGACTTGAACAGTGTTGAGCCAGTCGCTCCCCTCTGGGAGCCTGTTTCTGTAGAGGGGATGGCAGCATGCTGCAGTTTCTGCATGGAATCAAGGAGATACTGGAGTAAGTGCCTGGTGCCAGGGGAGTTTTATTTTTATCTGCCTCAGGCCTACATGGGGTTTAAGACACAGAGAACAAGATCCTTAGTGCTTTTCCTGCCCCTTGGGCTCTGAACATCATGGGTTCCCATCTCTATAGGCTTTTGGGTTGAGAAAGTGGCTGGATGGGCTGGGATAGGCACCTGTGCCATCCTGCACAGCTGGCATACATCTGCTGTGGCTCCCTCTAAGGGTGAGGCCTGGGCAGGGAATGAAGAATTAGCTAGGTCTGTCTACATGTCCAAACAGGACTCCTGTCGCTCAGGGCAGGAGGTAGGTGAGGACCAAGGATGCAAAATGCTTTGTATGCAGGTGTTGTGTGTTAGACCCAGGCTTGTGGCATGTGAGCCTGGAGATGTTGATAGTGGCTGAAGACTGGTGAGATTTGCATGAAGGATGGAAGATATGTGTGCAGATGGAAGGCTGTAACAACCATTTCTTAAGTGCCTATTATGTGCCCAGTATGTAATAGGTCCCTTACATGTAATGTATCAAGGTCAGGACCATATGATGCCCATTTAGCAGAGGAGAAAATGGAGAATTACAAAGGGAAAGAACCATGCTTGGGTCCTGGCTCCCAGCCCAGGCTCTTTGTTATGCTTGTTTCCTATGTGTGAAAAAAGCTACGAGGGGTTCCCTAGAGACCTCTGTGTGTGAGTGGCAGTGCTGGAGTTGTCCCAGGACTCCTGAGTTGGGCCTGTTGATGCAGAGTCTTCTGTACCAGTGTTGTGAAGGGAAATACATGTTTCTCTATGTGGCTGTGGGGTGTGCTTGGGTCTTGGTAGCTGCTAGCCTGGACAAATCCCTTCACTTGTTGGGACTTGCTGAGGAGTAGCTTGGTGGCCCAAGATGGCCTCTAGTTTTTTTGGGGGGGATAATACAGAACTCATTCTTCCAGGGTCTGCAGGGGGTATGGAGGATAGCTGGCCCAAGTCCTGCATTGTCACTGGTGATGGGGCCCTGAGCCAGCCTACTCTGGTTTAGACCTCTGTTCACCCTTGGCACAATGCCGGCCCCCCTAGTGGCAGCCTTTCAATTGCCATCTTCAGTGACTTTGAAGCCAGCAGAGGAAGAGAAGAAGAGTGAGAGGTGGCAGGGCCCTTCTCTTCTGGAACCTAGCAGCTGGGGCAAGCATGGGATGGGGTGGGAGCTGAATTAATCTAGAAAGTTCCTTTGTGTTGTCAGAGGATTGGAATTGGCTAGCATGCACAGGGACCTGGTATTTGAACCAACATTGAATTAGTGTGAGGTCCCACCTAGAGGCAGAAATTGGGTGAGAATGACTCTGAGGCCTTTCCTGGAGAGGGGGTTCACAGACCAGGGATACCTTATTACAGATGGGGAAACTGAGCCCCTGAGGTCAGAATGATGCATGGCAGTGCAGTCCCAGTGCCTGCAGGTGGCCGAGTCTGCCCCTGTGACCATACTTGGCTGGGCTGGGGGCACTTAGAGAGGTTATTCTTATCCTTCAAACTCTACAGCACCCCTGAGTCAGGGAGTAGAGTGATAGGTCTGGATCCATGTCCTATTAACTGTAGGTCCTGCAGGGAAACTGAGGTAGGGGTTCCCAGAAACCATCTCCCACGACTGAAAGGACCTCAGGATCCCCAAGGAGCCCGTGTAGGGGAAGCAGCTGGAAAGGGAAGGAGGGAGTGGCCTTGGCTACAGAGGACAGACCCCCCTGGATAGCACGGTGTCTATGGTAACCTGGCCTGTGTGAATTGAATGGGGATAGGGAGGATTATGGTAGCTAAGGGAGACAGTAAACTTTCATCTTGGCTTGTGGCAGCTCCTTCCCTTTTGAATTGCAAGTAAAATTGAAAAGCTGCTTTTTGTGAGGAATGAGGTGTGGCCTGTCTTTGAGCATTGGGGGAGGGGTTCCCCTCCACATCACAGAAACCAGAAGCACTGGGGTCACACAGAAGTACAAAGCATACACCCTGAGAGTCACAACCTAAAGTTGGGCACCAGGGGCTCATGCCTGTAATCCTAGCAACTCAGGAGGCTGAGCTACTAAGAGGCTGAGATATGAGGATCATGGATTGAAGCCAGCCTTGGCAGGAAAACCTGTGAGACTTTTTTTTTTTTTTGTCAGTCGTAGGGCTTGCACTCTGGGGCCTGGGCGCTGTCCTTTAGCTCTTCAACTCAAGGCTAGCGCTCTACCACTTGAGCCACAGCACCACTTCCACTTTTCTGCAGATAAGCATCTCGGGGACTTTCCTGTCCCAGCTGGCTTTGAACTGCAGTCCTTAGATCTCAGCCTCCTGAATAACTAAGGATTACAGGCATGAGCCACTGGCACCTGGCTGTGAGACTCTTAATCTCCAAGTAACCACCAGGAAAAAAAAAAAATGGAAGTGGCACTGTGGCTCAAAGTGGTAGAGTGCTAGCCTTGAGCACAAAAAGGCTCTGGGACAGCACCAGGCCCTGAGTTCAAGCCTCATGGCCAAAAAAAATGTCACAACCTGGACACACACAGGACACACTACCCAGAAACACCAACCCACCACACAGATCCACTCAGGTCCATGAAGTGGTTATACCCACAGACAAGTACCACCCAATCCCACACAGGTACAGAGCAGCTCCCCAGTGGTCACACCTGAGTCGCACCTCCCTTTTTTTTGCTTTGGTGGTTATTGTTGAGATAGGGTCTTACTTTTTGCCAGGGTTAGCCCAGGCCATGCAACCACATGTTGCATCCCATGAGTGTAAGTCAGCATAATCCCCCACCCCCCAGAAGCTATGCAATGATACACATGCACAAAATAGCCCCTGTCATGCATCACACATGTAGAGCCCAAACCCACTGCTAGAACTCACAGTGGTGCCCCTGCCCCCTCCGGATACAGACACATCAACTCGTGCCCTGGTACACACACAAATGGCTGCATCACCTATACCACAGCTGAGACCTGCACATTCCGTGCACCCAGGCCATATCGACATGAAAGCCAAGACATGATGAATTGACATGCACTCCACAGAGACACACACAATCCCATGTGGAGATAAATGGTTAAATACACCTCATTCACAAGATCCACACACCCCTCTTGGGCCCCATCATGGATGGATGTGGATACTACCCCCCTCACCCACTTGGCAGGCTTTGTACAGACACTTGCTGGGGGGCCTGTAGCCACCACTGGGCAGAACCTCCTACTACTAGCTCCCCCACAGCCTTAGCCTGTGTTCTTTCCAGCTCATGAAGTTCCCATGCTGCCATGGCTGGCCCCTCCTTATTATACTGGGACCAGCAGGTGTTTTACATGGGTTGAGAGTGTCCACTTGCTAGTTGGACAGGCATCTTGTGCCCACAGCATCTAAGGGATGACACTGGTGCAGGAAGTGGGCAGAGGCTCCTAGGAGTTAAGGAAGAGTAGGGGTGAGAGGACTTGAAGCAGGCACTGTAGACAATGATGTTATGGATCTTAATGCTGTGTATATGGGGAAAGCTTATCTGTTACCCTGGGACATTTGAGAACATCTGCATGCGGGCTGGGAAGTTGGCTCAGTGGTAGAGCGCTTGCCTTGCATGCCTGAGGCCCTGAGTTCGATTCCTCAGCACCACATAAGCAAAAAGAAAAAAGCCAGAAGTGGTGCTGTGGCTCAAGTGGTAGAGCGCTAGCCTTGAGCTGAAGAGCTGAGGGACAGCGCCCAGGCCCAGAGTTCAGACCCCATGACTGGACCCCCCAAAAAAAATAAAAAAAAAAGAGAACATCTGCATGCGTTGTGTGTGTGTGTGTGTGTGTGTGTGTGTGTGTGTGTGTGCTTATCTGCGTTCTTCAAAACAAGATTCAAATAGAGTCAAAATAGTTTCCTATGTAGTTATGCTTGATTTATGATCTCAGGTATTTACTAGGTATGAGCCATACCACCCTATGGACACTGTTCTAGATACTAAGGTATAATGGGGAATAAAAATTCAGGCTTTTTTTTTTGTCAGTTATGAGGCTTGAACTCTGGGCCTGGGTGCTGTCCCTGAGCTCTTCAGCTCAAGGTAAGTGCTCTATCACTTGAGCCACAGGGCCACTTCCAGTTTTCTAGTGGTTTATTGTAGATAAGAGTCTCATGGACTTTCCTGCCCGGGCTGGCTTTGAACCACAATCTCAGATCTTAGCCTCCTGAGTAGCTAGGATTACAGGCGTGAGCCACCGCACCCGGCAAATTCAGGCTTTTAAGCTAAGTGCTGTGGCTCCTGCTTGTAATCCTAGCTGAGGCTGGGTGGATAGAAGTTTGAGAATAGCCTAAACAAAAAGTTAAAAGGGCAGCCAAGTGCCGGTGGCTCACGCCTGTAACTACTCAGGAGGCCAAGATCTGAGGATCATGGTTTGAAACTAGTCAGTGAGACTCATCTCCAATAAACCACTCAGAAAAAGATGAAAGTGGTACTGTGGCTCAAGTGGTAGAGTGCTAGCCTTGAGCACAGAGGCTCAGGGACAGTGTCCAGGCCCTGAGTTCAAACCACAGGACTGGCCAAAAATAAAAATGAATGAATGAATGAATAAATAAATAAATAAATTCACAAGACTTGCTCTCAACAATACAAAGCTGGAGGTTTTAGTCTGGCCTATCATCTCACCTATAGCTGGAAATATAAAATAGACCTGTCAGGCTAATGCTGGCAAAAAGCAAGACCCTACCTCAACAATAACCAAAGCAAAAAAGGGACTTTGGCTTAGGTGGCACATTGCTTTAGCAAGCCCAAGCCCTATTACACACACACACACACACACACACACACACACACACACACACACGAAACAAGGAAAAAAGAAAAAATTCCAGGCTTTCCTAAGAGTGGGAGGAGACATGGCAACCAGTGTAATCCTCGTAAAGCACAGTGGGCTAAGTGTTTTGGAGGAGAGCACACAGTGCCATAGGCTCTATGTCTACCCCCAGGTGCATTTCTGGTTTGCATGCATGTGGTCATGAGCCTCGTGTGTCCCTTGCATGTCCCACATGTGCATTGCAGCCTGGGCTTGCCCACATCGCTTGCTCCCCCTGCCCCCTCCAGGTACTGTCAGCCTGCAAGGCATTGTGGGTGGCACCCCTGCAGAGGCTGTGCCTGCCTCCTCAGGCCTTGCAGGCCTCTCACCTGGGGCCCTTCCCTGCAGCTGGAGCAGGCTGTGCGGCTGGAGTCTGGGGAGCTGGAGGTGCCCGAGCCCAGGGGGCTGGTACGGCAGAGCGTGGAGCTGCGGAGGCAGCTGCAGGAGGAGCAAGCCTCCTACCGGCGCAAGCTGCAGGCCTACCAGGAGGGCCAGCAGCGGCAGGCCCAGCTAGTACAGCGGCTGCAGGCCAAGGTCAGGGCCACGCACTCCCACTCCTGCCCTCATTCCTTTTGTCCTGCCCCCATCCAACCCCCCCTCAGGGGCTAATGTTGCTTCCCTCCAATCCCCAGATTCTGCAGTATAAGAAGAAGTGCTCAGAGCTGGAACAGCAGATTCTGGACAGATCCACAGAGCTGGAGCAGCAGCGGCTAAGGGTGGGTACCAGGGTGGGATAGAGGCAGGTGCCTCCTCCCTCCTCCTCCCCTCAGCCTCCCAGCCTGATGCTCCTTACCCCTACCCAGGACACAGAGCACAGCCGAGATCTGGAGAGTGCTCTCCTCCGCCTGGAGGAGGAGCAGCAGAGGTGAGGGTGCTTCAGGGAGGGCACAGGGCAGGCAGGGCCCCCCTTCCCCACTAGGGAGGGAGTACCCACTTGCTCCTTTGTTATGCTCAGGAGTGCCAGCCTGGCCCAGGTGAATGCTATGCTGCGAGAGCAGCTGGACCAGGCAGGCTCTGCCAACCAGGCTCTAAGCGAGGACATACGTAAAGTGACCAGTGACTGGACCCGCAGCCGCAAGGAGCTGGAACAGCGGGAGGCAGCATGGCGTCGTGAGGAGGAGGTGTGCTGGGAGCTGGCCAGGGAGCTTGACCTGGGTGGGGACAATTGTAGAGAGCACGGGAGCCGGGCCAAATGAGCACGTTAGGAGAATCACAGCCATCAGTGTAACAGCAGGCCTTTATTAGACCATGCCATGTGCCAGGCACACTTGCTTCTATTGCTCATAATAATGGAGTATATAGGTGCCATCCTCCTCCTCCTCCTTTAAGGGAGGTTAGCTAACCAGTCTGTAGTCACAGCTGGGACACACACCTGAGTCCCTGGTACTTTCTACTCTTCCTTGCCACACTGCCACCAGCAGTGGCACCAAAAGTGAGCTCCTTGGGCAGGAAGAGCAGGAGGTTTAGGAGCTCAAATGAGCTGCTTTGAACTCTCTGCCTGCAGAAACCACACCCCGCCCCCAGACCCCTGCCGAGGCCTTGTCCCTGCCATCATGGTCAGAGCTAGGGGCACAGGGGAAGTGGACTGGCCACACCCAGCCCCTCTCTTGTCTCTTCTCCCCCCAGTCTTTCAATGCGTACTTCAACAGCGAGCACAGCCGCCTGCTCCTCCTGTGGAGGCAGGTTGTGGGGCTTCGACGGCTGGTCAGCGAGGTGAAGATGGGTACGGAGAGGTGAGGCCTGGCTGGGGGCAAGGGACGACTCAGGAGACTGTAGCACCTGCTAGCAGATCCTTCTCCAAGTCCAATTCAACTCCGCACACCTGGAGCCAGGCCCCGTGGAGATAGAGGCAACTAGTGTAATAATGAAGGTTTACCTGCAGCGAGGCCTTTCATAGGCATAATTTCTTCTAAGAGTCACTGGATCCCTCTGAGGGTAGGAACTGTTATGCTTCCTATTTACAAGTGAGGACACAGAGGCTCAGAGAGGTTGAGTGATCCTCAGAGCCACACACAACAGTAGTTGTCTGGGTTGATTGGGAGTCCCTGTGTTTTTTTTGTTGTGTGTATGTGTACACGCGCGTGTGTGCACATGTATGCTGGTCTTGGAACTTGAACTCAGGGCCTGGATACTATCCCTGAGGTTCTTTTAAGATTCAGGGCTAGTGCTCTACCACATAAGCCAGAGTTCCACTTCTGGCTTTTTAGGGGAAGGGTAGGGGTGGGTTGGAGTTATCGAGAATAGGAATTGCACAGATTTTCCTACCTGGGCTGGCTTTAATCTCACATCTCAGCCTCCTGGGAGCTCCTGAGTAGCTGGGATTACAGGTATGAGTAACCAAAGACCAGTGATTGCTTTGCTGTTTTTGTTGCTGTTTTTTTTTTGCTGGGCCTGGGGCTTGAACTCATGGCCTGGGTGCTGTCTCTGAGCCTCTTTGTGCTCAAGGCTAGTACTCTAGAACTTAAGCCACAGCTCCACTTTTTGTTTTTTCTGAATAGTTTATGGAGATTAGAATCTCACAGGCTTTCCTGCCCAGGCTGGTTTCAAACCAGCCTCCTGATTAGCTAGGGTTTATAGTCATGAAGGTTTATAGCTCAAGCTGGTTTGGAACTTTAGGCTTAGGCCTCCTGAATAGCTAGGATTATAGGTTTGAACCGCTATTCCCAGTACTATGTCTGTCGTTCTTAAAGATGTTTTTGACACCTGTTGTACTGAGAGGTTGTTCCATGTCAGGCTTAGAGGGGCTTTCCTGTTGGTTCTCAGTGACAGTATGCCATGAATAGACATACCATCATTTATTTATTGGCAATACCCTTTTGATGGATATTTAGGTTGTTTTCCAGCATTTTTTTACATGGTAATGTCACAGAGAATCACCTGTACATGGGCTATTCCTTGTACTGAGGTTACTGTAAGATGCCTTCTTAGAGGAGGGAATGGCAAGGCCAAGAGCCTCTGCAGTTATCTTTTGAGCTTGTTGTCCTTCATTGTGAGTGCTCTCACTGTCAGCTGTGTAGTGCAGAGCCTGTTTTCCCACAGCTTCATTCACAGTTTACTCACTGATTTGATAGTGATAGATGGCAGTGGAGCTACAGTTTGCTCTTGGAAGTCATTCTCATCCCATTCCCTGTCCTGTGTTCCCCCTAGGGACCTGCTGCAGCTGAGTGGGGAGCTGGCCCGGACTTCACGGGGCGTGCAGGAGGCAGGCCTGGGGCTGAGTGCAGGCCTGCAGCTGGCAGAGAGCCGGGCTGAGGCAGCACTGGAGAAGCAGGTGCTGCTGCAGGCCCAGTTGGAGGAACAGCTTCGGGTCAAGGTACTTCGAGAGAAGGAACTGACTCAGCTGCAGGTGCAGAGTGACTTGAACAAGGCTGACCTCAGTGCCAGGTGGGTGGTAGCAAGGGTCATTCAAGGCTAGCTTCCCTGCAGAGGGGTCAGTTGGAGTGTCTTTTCCCTGTGCTGGCCTGAAGGAGCTCAGCCAGCCTTTCCCAGGATCCCTGTTTGAGATTTAGAGGGCTGTGCCGAGTGTACATGAGTGTACATTGCCAGTACTTCAATCTCCCATGACCCCCAACTCCTGCCTCCTGAGGAAGTCCTAGACTGTTTTCCTCATTCTTATTTTACAAATGGGAAGCCTGGGGTCCCAGGGGTTGTGCTCAAGATCACATAGCTAGGGAGGGGAGAAGCATGAAGGATATAAGCTGGTGGATTTGAGGAGAAGCTGGGCGGTTACCTCATTCTTCTTCTGTTGCTTCTTTACCTCTAGAGTGACAGAGCTGGCTCTGGCAGTGGAGCGCCTCCAGAACCAGAACCTGGAGAAGGATCAGGTCAACAAGACACTGTCAGAGAAGCTGGAGGCCCTGGTGAGATGTAGCCCCTGGGACCAACCAGAGCCATGGCCACAGACTTAGGACTGGGCTGCTTGGGCCTCCAGCGCATCCCATTCAGACTTAGTGTCACCCCTCAGAGCAGGCACCAGGCTGATGTAAGGACGTTGATCCTCCCATCCCACTCACTATACCATGAGGAAACCAAGTCCTGGAAGGCCCCGAGCCTGGAGACAAGAGAGTCCTTCCTCCACCTCCCCACCAGAGGGATTCCTTTCCAGGGCACTCACTGCCTGACTTGGTTCCCTCTGTGGCTGGGCCTGGGCTCTTCTCCTGGTGTTTGTATGATTGAGATAAGGCCCTGCTTCTCGGCTCCTCATCTGTTCATTGAGGGCAGCAGGGCTGCTTGTGGGGCCCTCATTGAGGCCACCTGAAGGGTGGAGGGCAGTTGGAGTCTCACCTAGGACCAAATCATGACCACTGTTTCTTTGTCTCACTCCAGGAGCAGGCAGCCCTGGAGGTGGAGGATGGAGATGGGCTGCAGCAGACTCTGAGGGATTTGGCACAGGTAGGGACAAAACTCCTTTGTAGAGCTGGCATGCCATCCTGGGCCCACTGAACCGAACTGGAAGGGGTGTGGGGCTAGGAATTTTCATGCTGCTGTCCCACAGCTCTTCTAGCTCATTGGCTTCTGCTCTGGGAGCCACAGACAGTACTGGATAGACATACTGAATGATGTCTTTCCAATACCTGCCTAGCTGTGGGCAGTGCTGGTAAAGGGGGTGCACTCAGGAAAGCTGCTTCGAGCAAGGGAACTTCGTGGTGGGGAGGTGTAAAGAGTTCTGCTCCTGGGGCTTGAACTCAGAACTTTGCACCTTCCTTGAGCTTTTTTGCTCAAGGCTAGTGCTCTACCACTTGAGCCACAGTTGTACTTTCAGCTTTTTGGTGGTTAATTGGAAATAAACATCTCACAGAGTTTTCCTGCCAGGGCTGATCCTCAGATCTCAGCCTCCTGATTAGCTAGGAATACAGGTGTGAACTACTGGTGCCTACCAGCAAGGACACTTTGAAGAGGTATTAACTTACCTAAAGACTAACTTACCTACCCAGCTAACCCCATGGTTCCCCAATCCTGCCTCCTATGCCACCCACCTCCAGGCCGTCCTGTCTGACTCTGATAGTGGCATCCAGCTAAGCGGCTCCGATCGTACAGCCGATGTCTCTGACGGCAGTCTGCGAGGGCTCTCAGGACCACGGACCCCGTCTCCACCACGGCGTGCCTCACCAGGACGTGGCCGATCACCACGCCGAGGCCCATCTCCCGCCTGCTCTGACTCCTCCACTCTCATCCTGATCCACTCTGCCCTGCACAAGCGCCAGCTGCAGGTCCAGGTAGGGAGCCAGAGCATTCCCCTGCAGCTGGGGCCTGGGGCTTAGGGCCTAGGAGTGGGGCCAAGACCCTGAGAAATTATTAAGGAGGGGTAGGGGAGAGGAGAATGGGCAGAGCCCTGGGACCCAATCTCAGCTCTGAATGGGAGGTGTTTGGCCATGGGGGTGGAACCTGGTATGGGAGGAGCTGGTCATACAGTCCAGGACTGTACAAACCAGAACCTAGCAGAAAAGGTCTGGGAGGAGGACCAGAGTAGAGGATGAGAGGAGCTTGGGAACTTGGGGCAGAGGCACCGAAGTCTGAATGGAACCAGAATGCAAGGGGGAGGAACCTGGGTGCTTTAGGGGTGGAGTCAAAGCCCAGGAGGAAAAACGTAGGTTTTTTTTTTTCTGATCTCCTGGGGGTTCAGCTTGGAATCACTTAGGCCCCCAGGGAGGTGAGGGCTCAGAAGTTTGGCTCGAGCACAGAAAAGAAGTGGAATTTGCTCACACGGGTCTTATGGAACTAGCACAACATAGATGAGCTTCCCCTGTTCCGGTGACACCCCCACTCTGATCTAGGACATGCGCGGGCGCTATGAGGCAAGCCAGGACCTGCTGGGCACCATGCGGAAGCAGCTTAGTGACAGCGAGGGTGAGCGGCGAGCCCTAGAGGAGCAGCTGCAGCTCTTGCGGGACAAGACAGATGGTGCCACCCAGGCCCAAGAGGATGCCCAGCATGAGGCCCAGCGGCTGCGCAGTGCCAATGACCTCCTGAGCAGGTGTGCAGGGAATTTGGGGAGGTTGGGTGGGGGGTGGTTTGATTAGTGTCTGAGACTGAGGTCCCCCCAAGCCAAGCAGAGCTAAGGCCTGACTCTAATAGATAGATCACAACTAGCCATAATTGCCTTTTTTTTTTCTCCTTTTGGTGCCAGTACTGGGGCTTGAACTCAGGGCCTGGGCACTGTCCCTGAGCTTTTGTGCTTAAGGCTAGACTTATACCACTTGAGCCACAGCTTGACTTCTGGCTTTTTGGTGGTTAATTTGAGATGAGAATCTCACAGACTTTCCTACCCAGGCTAGCTTTGAACCATGGTCCTCAGATCTCAGTCTCCTTAGTAACTGGGATTACAGCTCCTCAGCCACAGAGTAGCTGTAGTGAGCCACTGGTGTGAGGCTCTCTATTGTATGGGGCTCACTACTGCCTATTAAAAGTGCCAGGGTGTGGCTCAAGTATTAGAGCTCTTCCCTATTAGGACCTTGGGTTCATTCCCCTGTACTACAACACTACTACTAATAATAACTTAAGTCAAAACTTCAAGAAAGTGAAAATTCAGATCCTCAGTTACATTAGTCACATTTCAAATGCTCCAGAGTCACACATAGCTGTAGAACATATTAACACCTTAGAGAATTCTGTTGTTTTCCCTGTTCTAGACTTGTTTCCTGGAGGTTATTTATCTATTTTCTGGTGTTGGGGATTGAACACACAGCCTAGCACATTCTAGGAAGCACTCTATTGCTGAGCTCCATCCCTGTGTGTTCCGATCCTGAGACTTGAACTTTTTTTTAGAGTGTAGATGCTGTCTCTGAGCTCTTTTTGGCCAAGGCTAGCATTTGACAATTTGAACCACAACTCTACTTCTACCTTTTTGGTGGTTAACTGGAGATGAGTCTCATGGACTTTTCCTGCCCCAGCTGGTTTCCAACCTTGATGCTCAGATCTCAGTCTCCTGAGTAGCTAGGATTACAGGTATGAGCCACCAACACCTGGCTTCATCTTGGAATTTTTTTTTTGACGTTAGGTGATTACATAAATTTCACATATTTCACATTATTGTGGAGTAGTGATACTTAAAGTCACAAACACATTTTAACCTTCACAAGGCAAATAGTCATTATCATGTTCTATAAAGTTTGTGTGTTCTATGAGCTTTGACAATACAACAATTTCTTCTACATCATGTGATATTTACATTTTTTTCTTTTGCTTAGTGTAAGCTGTCCCCTCTTTCATTCTCATTTCCTTCCTCCCATCTATGTCAGTGCAGCTGATTGGCCCCTCTGTTGTATGTTTTCCCGTTTCCCTCTGATTCTTTTTTTTTTGGGGGGGGGTCTGGTCATGGGGCCTGAACTCTGAGCCTGGGTGCTGTCCCTCAGCACTCCAGTTCAAGGCTAGCACTCTACCACTTGAGCCACAGCGACACTTCTTTTTTTCTTTTTGCTTATGTGGTGCTGGGGAATCGAACCCAGGGCTCATGCATGCAAGGCAAGCGCTTTACCACTGAGCCACCTTCCCAGCCCCAGTTTCCCTCTGATTCTGTGTCCTCCTCCTAGCTTCTCTCAGATGCGTACATACATACACCATATATGTGGTCAAGAACATGGAGTCATTTAGCAATGATATGATGAGTGAAAGTCCTTTGTTTCTCCAGTCCTGTTTACTTTGTCATAGCTTTGTGCGTTTTGGCTTTAACATCCACATATTAGGGAGACCATGTGCCATTTGGCTCTTTGCTCTTGACTTATTCGCTCAAAATGATTTGCTCTAGTTCCATCCATTTTCTTGCAAATGCCATTATTGTGTCCTTTCTTTTTTTTGGGGGGGGGTCCAGTTGTGGGGCCTGAACTCTGGGCCTGGGCGCTGTCCCTCAGCTCTTCAGCTCAAGGCTAGGGCTCTACCACTTGAGACACAGCGTCATTTCCAGCTTTTTTCTTTTTGCTTATATGGTGCTGAGGAATCGAACCCAGGGCCTCATGCATTGCAAGGCAAGCGCTCTACCACTGAGCCACCTTCCCAGCCCCTATTTTGTCCTTTCTAATGGCTGCATAATATTCCGTTGTATATAGGAACCACAATTTTTGGATCCACTCAATTGTAGTGGGGCATCTGAGTTGTTTCCATATCTTGGCTATTATGAACAGCATCTTGGAAATTTTTTTTATATTTTTATTTTTTATT